TACAATGTTTAAATCATGAGAATGTCTGAAATACACTTAAAAAAATACCCTTATACATATCTTTTCACAGTATCTTCCACTGTATACATTATTCCCCCGTTCCTGGTTTCGCGCGACAACGTTGCGCAGCTACTTATTGAATATTAATAATTATTTATTTTATCTATGTAATACTGGTATAAACAGTAAGTGATAATCAATAATATATCAGCGATTAAAAAAAAAGGTCACTGTCCAGTTACTTTTTTCTCACTCGGTATATTTAAAATTATAATGAAGACAACGGTAAAATAGAAAATTTGCAGTATCAGTCCCTCCAATAAATGCATCAATTAAATTTCCACAAATCTCTTCATTCTTCATAGGTCTGATAACTATATCTTCGTACTTTTCTATATATTTCCCTTTATGCGTATCTCTATCAGTATTTGCAATAATAAAGGAAGTCAACATATCATTCCTTAATTCTTCATTTAATGGAGTTCGTTAATCTCTTGTCGACGTCTTTCAACAATTTCAGTTAATTTTCCATATAAATACTCTTTATTATTTAAATATCTACGAATAATTCCTCGTATATACGGAAAATAATAACGAACATACTTTAAATACAAACGAAAATACATAACTCCATCAATATAGGTTTGAATACTAGTTACAATACTATTTGATTCCGTCTCTTGATCATTAACACCACATAGTTTATTAGTACACGAGTTACGTGCATATCCCTTAATGCCAATTGCTATTCTGTATATCATGTCATAAGTGAATCTATGCATCCAATTTGGAAGATTAATCGCATCATTATTTTCTGTTAATGTCTTGTTCACATCTTTCTCCTCCTTTATAATACCTATCTTACGCCAACATGATTCCATTTCCTCGATCAATTCTATAGTCCATTGTAATGCATCCCTGTCTAACTTTGGACGCATTAGCGCATTACTAAAAACCATTCTATTAAACTTCCAAGAACCATTGATATCATTATTATTAAAAACACCATTATCAACTAAACCATATTCTTTACCTTCAGATTTTGTGAACCTTTTTATATATTTACTTTTTAGTAGATGTTTGATGAATTTTAACCATATATTTTGGATGACATAAAACAATTGTGCGTTCGCCACCAAACCATATTTCAAATATATCCCCATATTTTGAGTGAAATGATCTAAGTAATTCATCCATTCCTAAAGGACGGCCATTTAAATTAAACATACGGTAATATGAACCTATAAATGGTAATGGGAAAAGGCCTGGTAACTTATTTGGACGAATATAATAATTGTAGTAAAAGCGAAGAATGTAAAGCACGAGTACGAAGAAGATAACGTTAGAGATGTCAGAAAGTGAATATGAGGTAGACTTCACCAAAGCTAAAATAGTTGCTACAAATAAAAACATGATTAATATGTATTATACGAATTGATTTATACGAATTGTTATACGAATTGATTATACGAATTGTTTTTGAATTTGCGATCTCACATTGGGTTTATATAAAATTCCAAAATGAAACCAACAATACTAAATTTATTTAGCGCATAGCCGATTTCATTCCGGAATTACCCTAATTTCATTTAATGAATAAGAAAAATATACTACGTATATTTTTGGACAGATTTGGTCAGCACAAGGTTCATTACTTAGGCCCGTTGTACATAAATACAGTACAACGTTATTATGGTTCTGTAGAAATCTGTTCTGTATGTCAAATATTTATCCCGTTAGTGATGTAACACAAACCTGCGATAATTAGTTTCGGCAATAGAAAAAAAACCAGCCGAAACTAATATTATACTGATTATCGCATAGTTTGGAACGAATAGTTTGGGTCACATCTATAATTCCCGTGCCCTATCATCGTGCAGTCATAACTCAGTTTAAAGTTAAAAAATTTCATTAATATATTAAATAAATAATCAATTATCGCGGTTTTCAAATGGTTGAAAATGGTAGATAAATTTTTTTTTTTTTTTTTTTTTTTGGTGAACACTCGAACACTCGATTGCCTTAGCACGTTGATTGAAGTCGATGCCCGATTTTATGTAATTGTTTACCAAACAATAGTCATGCGGATTAGATTTGTACTCCATAGGCATAATCTTCAATCAATGTGCTAAGGTGACCGAGTGTAAGGATGGCTCCGAAATTCAAAAAGAAAATTAAAACAATAATTGATAATCAAGTAATATTGATGCAATTTTCTTTTTTGAACTTTGGAGCCATCCTAAATCGAGTGTTCGAGTGTTCACCGAAAAAAAAATTTTTATTTGCCATTTCGAAACCGCGATAATTTAGTTGCAATTCTGCTTACTCAAAATTGTGATTATTCAAATTATTAATAATTTAGAAGTTATCATAACTGTTGCATGATTTAGGTTGAGTCGAGTTGATTCAACTTATATCAATTTGGGTTGATTTAGCTTATGCCAATTCAATGTGATTCTGATTAACAGTTTCGCTGAAAATAAATGCGAATATTAAAATAACTGAAAAAAATTAGTGTCTATAAGATCAATTTTTTCAGTCGTCCAGGTTATTAGGTAAACCTTTTTGAGGCGTTTGAGAAAACCCTTAATATGCATAGAGTAGAGTCGATTCAGGCCATTCTAAGTGTTCCCTTGATGTGTTATTTTACGATATATATTTTGATAAGCGATTAAATCAGAGCTTAAAAAGAACTGATATGCTGAGGTCACGGAACCTACACTCTGGAACAACAGCAAAAATTGCCGAATCGATAAATTACCAAGTCGAAATTCAAGTTTCTGACTTCGAAATCAAAACCTAACGATTCGGTTATTAGCAATTTTTTCGGTTTCCTAAGATTTAGTTGTAAGGTTCGTACGTACGTGCTTACTAAACGGCTCGGATCGGCCGTTCGGCATGCGGCTTCGATAAATCCAAGGCAAGATATGGGTGCCGCCAAGGGAAAACCTGTCATTAGGCTTTAAATTTTATAAGTTACCGGACACAATCAGATAGACTGAACTGAGTCCGGTTAGCAATAAACTTGAAACCTCGATAACAAGTTTTCTCTTGGTGTGACCTATATAATTTAGATAATCTTATTTCGTCGTTCTTCAAACACTTTATATGTAAAAACATAAACAATCGTACGAAAAATAATCTAATAAAACCCAGAATATATTTACAGACTTAGATTTAGTAATTTTTTAGTCAACATAAACTTGTTGCTTAAAAATTCCATAGAAGATAAACTTTTTAAGCCGAAAAAAACCGGTAAATAGTATGGTGTGTGACAAGCTTAACTAATAATATATTTCATAAATACGTACGTACGTACATTCTTTGCAAATTGCAAGAACACTTTAAAAAATCGAAAATCACCTATAATAGAAAAAAAATTTTGCATACTTAAATTTTACCTATTATCCAATTTCTTGAGATTGATAAGTAGAAAAATTCTGTGCCGAGCTGTAGGCGCATATTAAAACTTACTGCGGATGAATATGTATTTAAAATTTTTAATTGCTGAAATGAAAAAAAATGTTTGCAAGTTACTACAAAAATTAAAATTTACCTGAATATTTACAATCATACAACAGAAAAAATATCTTGATTTTGTTTTTTTCTGTTTTTTTTTTTTTTTGCCGATATTGTTTAAACTTATTTTTTATCAATATTACTTGAATGTCGCCTTAACGGTTCTTTTTTTTTTTTTTTAAAAAAAAAAAAAAGTGATTCAGTTATAATTTTGTTATCAAAAAATAGTTAATCATGATGATTTATAACGATATAATTTGTTATAATGTCAGATGCTAATTTTAGGTTGCAAACGTAACTAAATCTTTTTACTAATTTAAAATAGAAAAAAAAATTTAAATCGCTTTAAGTCATGTGTTCTATATTCTAGATCCAGTGTGCGAAGATATAAAATGCTTAAATGTTATTTACAAAGATGCGTACTTATTCTAATGTATATTTGCTGCAAAAGAGACAGCTAATTTCTAAGAGAAAATTCCTTTGAAGGAGATAGGAATGTAGAGTCAATAATCGAAGAAATTGAAGGTAATCTTTCGTTGGTCCTCTTGTCTCTCCAGGCTTCCAACATATTCATGGAATTAGGAATATATGCTCTTATTGTATCTGGTTGGTAAGGTATTTCATAATGCTTTATGTAAGTTAAGTTTGATGGAGGCTCTAGATGATTTACTGGAGGAGCATTAGAAATTTTAGGATGGCAAGATGGATAAGGATAATTGTTACGTTCCGCACGAAAAAGGTTTGAAGTTGGAAGATAAGGATGATAAGTAAGAGGACCTAAAAGTCTTTTAACGATTCGGTGATGTTTCATTGAAATTAACTGTTCCCTATGACTTTCACAGTGAATCTTATGATGTTTTTTTAAATCTTGGGGCCGTTTGAAAGCCTTCTTACATGTCTAAATATTACAAGATTAATAACCATTAAGTAAAATCGAATGTATGAAACTCTTTTATCACGTTTAATAAACATATACCTCACAAAGGTGTGGTTTTAAAGGAACGTGGATTCTTAAATGACTCGTAATATGATCTCTTTTTGTGGTGCTTACATCACAATCTTCCCAATGACAGTCTAAACACAAATTTCCGGTTGATTTTCGCCCGACATGGTGTGTTGACAGATGTTCATATAAAGAGTCAGCATCTTCAAACGTGCGATAACACTTCGACCACAAACAAACTAAATATTCATCTGTATCTCCTGGCGACGATGCTGACGATGCTGCAGGAGAAAGTGACATTCTGAGAATTTGTGCAGTGTAATTTATGGAGAGAAGATTCAACGATGATGAAAGGCTAATATATTACAAAACTTCACTAATAATTTAGATTATCAAAATGGTTCATTTCTATGATACTTGAATTTAAAAGAACATAAATCCCTGTTTTACGGGGGTTCAAAAATAGAAGTTTGAATATTAAACAATCGTAACTTGATATATATATATATATATATATATATATATATTCAAGCCAGTTTATTTTCATTGACGAATGAAAACACTTTTGTGCCAAGAAACAGGAGGTAAATATCCCTACAGTAGCATACGCATTACCTAAATATTTGACAAATAAATTCAAACTCGACAATCACCAACTAATTATAGTAAAGATGAATGTTCGGAAACACCATTCGTTCATATTAGTGCATAATTTACAAAAGAAAACCCACAATAATAAGGCGTTGAATAAAAATTTTTCTGATGAGAATTTTCCATTTGGAATATACAGATTCGCGTTACTGTAACGGAAAATGTCGGATTCATTATAACCTCACTTCCTATCTGCATATCGCGAGTGATAATGTGACTAACTGGTTCCTTGTCAACTTTAATGTCAAATATGGAGTACTGGTTAACTGGTTAACTGGTTCTTAGGTAACCTAAATATTATATTATGGGTCCATGCACTAGCCTAAACCAAGAGCCGGGAAAATATAGCATAAAAATTGGTAGGACATGTGACTTCATGACCTAATTCAAATGGACCTGGACACTATACTCTTTTCGAAAACTGTGGCTGTTCAAGAAAATGAATGAAATTTATGTAAAAATATATATTTATGTTACGTAGACGAATTGTTCTTATGCCAAGCCATCGTTATATATTATTAATCTTTATTATTTATTACAACGCCAAAGAGATTTCTTTACTTAATTGGTATACGTATATCGTCAATCCCATGCATAGCCTAACGGAATCCGGCGAAATGTTATCCGGCGGATCTCGTAGCTTTAAGAAAGGAATTTCATAATATCCGTGTTAATTTAGAAATCATTGCCTTGTTCCAATCACTTCAGAAATTAAGCGACGTAATTTTCGAAGTACTAGATAATCCTTAGGGCGAGGCGTACGTAACTTGCATACGCGAAGGTCAGATTTCAATGAAACGAGCACGTACGTACGTATGTACATGAATCCGGCCATCTTACTTGATATCGGCGAATATTAATGTCGTCTATTTTAACAATGTTTTCTTGTATCACTCAAAACTTCTAAAATTGCTATCTATGAACCCTAAAAATTTAAGGGTTTGAATTATCGCTATTGGTTTAAAAAACTATAAACGGATGCTCATTTAAAAATGAATAAACAAATGCGTGCGTGATACTTGGCTTAGCTCGTACGTATTCTCCAGAAAAGAACCATTTAATAGGCAAATCTTGTTTGTATACAATATACCCCATTCAATGGACTAATTTTTATATCGATATCGTAATAATGACAATTTAACGCTAAATGCCACCATTAAGTTTGTTCTTCCTAATGTAAGATTCTGATTTAGCCCCAAATAGAGGTGTTAAGTAGTTCAAAAAGACCTAGTTCTCAAAATGTTCATTCTGTTTTGTTTTAGTTACGTATTAATTTATCTATTTATTTATTTATTTTATTTATTTATTTATTTTTTGAATTTGGATTTTTGTTCTATCCATTACTACAGATAAATCGATAAATCGGGAATTTGACTCGGATATCGGAAATTATAGCTGTAGGCATTTGGAAGGTCAGAGGTATCTACCTCCTCCATACGTCACTGCCGTATTTTTATTTGATTGTCTAATGTTTGCAGCCTTACCCGAAATATATAATAATACCCGAGTGAAGATTGTTTCAACGGGTCCTATCTCTAATTATGGTTATCCAGTTCATAAATATCTACAGGGTAGATACTTTAACGTGGGTAATCATTAAGGAACAAAGAAAATTCTATAATTGAAGTCATACCGACACGAAACTAAGTTAAAATATCATGATAGTTTCGAATAGATTTCTTTTATTGTCAGGACCAAGCAGGACCAGATCCTTAACGTCCCTATCCCAAGCATTTGGATTGTTAATGATGTACACTAGGTTATAATCCACATATAATTCACGGGATCCCTTCAATTCACCGACAAATCAATTCACCGAACGATCATTTAGCCGACATCACATAGGGTTAGGGTTAAGCATTTCATTAGTTGCAGGTATATATTTTTACTAAATTTCACCTGGCGTGATGTCGTCTAAATGAGCTGTCGGTGAAGTGATTGTCAGTGAATCAATACGGACCCATAATTCACTCCAAAACACTTCATAAGCGAGTTATGCTTTTTGTTATAGTCTGAAGCACTTAATTAACAACCTTACGTACTAAGCAATATTAAGTTATAGTCTCATTTAGAGAGATCTTACTATTACTACATCGATCTATTATATATTATTAAATAATCGTATTCACGTGATGGTGACGTAAATAAATTTTAAATCGTAAACTTTGGCATCCGCGTTTACCTAAGGGAAGTCGCAGATATTACATAATATTCTTAGAGTGAGAGGGGGTCTGAGATATATAAGAAGGGATAATATAAATGTCTTACGTGGGGGAGAGGGGAGTTAGCTATTATAGTCAAACCTTTCTATAATTACACCTTTGGAATACAAAAAATGGTAATTATATAAAGACGTAATTAATATAAAGTCACTTTATATAGTCACAGCTATATTAAAAATTTTTTTTTTTTTTTTTTAATGTTAAGGTGACCACTTTGGGGTCTGGCACATTTTATTAAACTTCGGTTCAAATGCCAGGGCAGCCACATGGGCCACCTCCGACTTTGTTACATTAACGAGGGTACAGTTGGTCACATGTACAACTTTAGTCATTGCCTATCTAAGGGCTCTGCTATACATATTACTATCTATAGTTACTCACCCCTCTTAGGACTTTAAAGCAAACACACACTTCCATATAGGAAGGTTCTTTATTCTCATAATAAACCTACTATTGCAGTTTATATCCCACATATGTATTATCTAAATTTTTAGTAATTTACATCTAGGCTGCAGCCAAGTACTTGTGGTATTTTACCTTCACTACTGTTACTTATTCCTGCCTTTGCAAAGTTTATTTAAACCTTGGCATTCACTTTATGGACTATTATCAATACCCCTGATTTTTTTCTAAATTACTAATTTAGATGGCACAGAAGAAATTTTTATTTGCAGGTTATCGGTCCCTTAGTATTTGTAATTAAACAGATTCCTTTTCTCTAGTTTCACAGCCTGGTTAGTGGGATGTCTTTCTAAATACTTATTGTTTAGCATTTAAACTACCAATCCAAATGATCTAGTAGGATTTTTTCTCACAAGTTACTAGTCTTCTGGTATTTGCATTTAAACAGATACTTTTTTTCCAGCCCTAGTAGCCTAGTTAATAAAATGTTTTGTTATATACTTTAGTCTTATTCAGTTTTTGCTAATTCCCTTGATAATAATCCTTTATATAGTACTGTTAAAGATTTGTGCTACCTTTCTACTTGGGTCTTGCTAAGTGGGTGTCTGTCTTTTTGGTTCCTTGAATTAATATAATTTCTTTTTTTTTTTAATGTTAAGGTGATCACTTTGGGATCTGGCATGTTTTATTTAACTTTGATTTGAATATCAGGGTAATCACATAGGTTACCACTGATTTTGTTATATTAATAAGAGTACAACTAGCCATATGTACAACTTTTGGTTGTCTATTTAAGCAGTCTTGCATATATAACCTATATGAATTACATTAGATGTTATACCTATAACCCAGCTAAGGGGATTATCTATTTAAACCCTCTGATCAACTTAGCATCATCAAATATTTTTCTCAAAGAGTGGTTGCCAGAAAGGCTCTTTAGGACTTTAAAGCAGATACATACTTCTATATAGGGGAGTTCTTTATCCTTGTAATAAACCTACCAGAGCAGTCCATATTTCACATATATATCACCTAGATTTTCAATAACTTATGCCTAGGCTGTGGCCAAATACTTGTGGCTTTTTACCTCCTTATCATTACCTACTCCTTGCCCTTGTAAAGTTCATTCAAACCTCAGCATCCACTTTATAGACTATCAACAGTACTTCGATATCAACTATCAATATTTCAAACTTCTAATCCAAATAGCCTAAGAGGAACCAGTGAGCATCTCTTAATATTCTGAATAAATTTTTTTTCCTTCGGTTATTCGGTAGCCTGGTTGGTGTAGTGCTTATCAAATACTCAGTTTTCATTTAGTTTGCCCTTGGTGTCTAGTTCCCCAAATGATAATTTTTTATGTAGCACTATGAAGATTTGTGCTATCTCTCTACTTAGAACTTCTTCCATATCTTCTGATCCCTTGAATTTATTTGGCTGCTTTATCTAAAATTTGTACAACTCATATGTTACACTATATTCCACAACCTCCTAATATGAGTTGGTGAGACCAAGGTTACAGATGCTAATCCAATTGATATGTTATACAGTTTACCATAATACATTTCTGCAAATTTGAATTTCATTATTAGTGGGATTCAAACTTTTGTCCTGCCGCTTAGAAATGTGACAACTTACTAACTTTACTAAGTCACTACACTCTTTGAATTAATATAGCTATAGAACTCTATTTGTGTAACTTATACATAACATAAATGCTCTACGATCTTTCAATCTAGTTGGTATCACCAAGGAAATAGAGATTCTGTTTCAACTGATTAATGAAAAATAATAGTTATATAAATAGAATTTTTTTAAAATTCATCATCAATAGATTTCGAAGCTCCTATCTAGCTAACAAGTTGCTTGGAGATGTGACAACTTACCAACTTTACTAAGTTGCTATATCCTTTAAAATAAAAAATTTTTTTTAATATTAAGGTGACTACTTAAAAGTTTGGCATGTTTATTAACTTTAGTTTGAATGTCAAAACAGCCACATAGGCTGCCTCCAACTTTATTACATTAATGAAAGTACAATTAGTCATATATATAACTTTAGTTATTGTCCAATTAAGAGCTCTGCTATAACTATTGCTATTTATAGTTACTCACCAATTGCTATACTTAAAATCTGCCTGTAGATTGTCTATTTAAACTCTCTAATCAATTTAGTGCTATCAACAAATATTCTCTCAAAGAGGAATTGCTGTGAAAGCTCCTTAGAACTTTAAAGCAGATATATACTAATATATAAAGGTCCTTTATCTTCATGATAAACCTACTAAAGCAGTCCATATTCTACATATGTATTATCTAAATTTTCAGTAACTTACACCTTAACTGCAGCCAAATACTTTTGATATTTTAGCTCTACTACTGTTACTTACTCTTTGCCCTTGCAAAGTTTACTCAAATCCCAGTATCCACTTTATAGACTATCAACAGTATTTTGATGCCAACTGTTGGTGACCAAACTTCTAATTCAGATGGCCTGAGAGGAACCAGTAGGTATCTTCTAGTATTTTGAATAAATTTTTTTTTCTCTGGTTGTCCAAAAACCTGATTAGTATAGTGCTTTTATCAAACGCCTTTAGTGTCTAGTTCTTCAAATAATAATCCTTTATATAGTGCTATCAAAGATCTGTACTATCTCTCTACTTGGGATTTTTAAAACAGGTTTTTGTATTTCTGATCTCTTAGATTAATTTGGTTACTTCACTTAAGATTTATATAATTTATATATCATACTATTGTTTCACAACTTCTCAGTACAAGCTGATAAGACCAAAGTTACAGATGCTAACCTCTGATTGATATGTCATACAGTCTGCTATAACACATTCCATAAATTTGAATTTTGTTACCAATGAGATTCGAACTCTTGTTCTGCTATTTGGAGATGCAACAATATACCAACTTTACTATGTCACCACACCTGATTAAAATAAAATTTTGTGACTATATAGAGGTTTTATTACAATAAAAATTTTTAATATTAAAAATATAAAAAATATAATTTTTATTTTTTTGTATATGTGATATAATATATCTTATAAAATTTGGTATAATATAAAATTAAAACAATAAAATTAATTTGTTAATTTAGGATTAGAGTTAAAGTTAGATTAAGGTTAGGGTAGAGTGCTTTAGTAAAGAGGTTCTAATCTAAAATTTTAAGAATTTTTTTTGTTAAAGCATAAGAAATAGTTTTATAGATAAAATTTCATACTATAGCTGATTTTTGAAAAAAAATCATAATTGCTTCAATTTTATGTTATATCTGATTCTTATTCTAATTGATTGATTAGGGTAGTAATAATCACTATAGTGATAAATTATAAAATCTTAAAAATTATATAGTAATTTTATACTATATTAATTTATATTTTAGATTTTTTTAATAATTACTAATTTAATTTGTTTAAAATAAATTATTATTAAATTGAGAATTGCTATTTGTATACTATAGTCTCAAATATTATCAAATTTAGATAATATAGATTATACACTTTTTTGTATAATTAGAATATTCTTTATACTTCTATTTTAGTTTATTGTTATTCTATACTAATCAATGAGGCTAAAATTATGCCAATATTTGCTTTTTGATTTGGTAAACAACCACTTTATAAAGCCTCTGGGATCACAAGAGATCTCTAAACTACATGTTTATAAAACCATTTATATTAGAATTAATTCAACTATTTATTATTAACTATTTTATGATCCTATTATCAGCTGTTTTAATATATAAATCAATTCTAGAGTATTCTTTACTATATTGTAAATTGATTTTTATATTTGGTAAA